GCAGGCAGAGGCAGTTAGGGGTGATCAGGCAGGCAGGTGAGCGGTTAGGAGCCAGCGGTCCCAGATTGCAAGAGGGATGTCTGACTGCTGGTTTGGGCCTGATCCCTGTGGGGTCGGGCCTAAACCAGCAGTCGGACATCCCCCAAGGGGTCCCCAATTGGAGAGGGTGCAGGCTGGGCTGAAGGAATTCCGACCCCCCCCCCCACCCCCCATACGAGTTTTGTGCACCAGTCCACTAGTGCATGAATAATTCTTTAGGAATCCCAGCTTTACTTAAGAATTTTGTTTTCATTCTTTGGATGGTTTGTCCTTTTCTCTTTCTCAAACATTGAAACCTGGCAGTCATTTGATCAGCAGTCACTTAGATCTTTGTGTTTTGTTTTTTTTTCCCTTTTCTTTTCTGGTCCCTGAAAATATCCCCGACATTCTTGCAAGCTCAGATAGTCATTTGGAGAAATATTTGTTATATTTTTATCAAACATTACTAACTTATGAAATAGGCACTTATCGGGACATTTATTCTTCTGCCTTATGGCTGAAAATTAAAGTGTCTCTTTTTTTTTCTGACTAATTTCTTTGTAGAGGACAGATATATTGGGAGCCTTTATTGCTGCGCTTGGGGAGAGGTATTAGTTTGTATTAAATAACAGAACAGGAGTGTAAATAGGTCTTTCTCATGGTCCATTAAGTTCATGAGTAAAAAAGATGAAACATGATACTTTGTATTGTCAGCTGAATACTGTTTACTTTTTTATAGTTAGGGTTTAACATACTTGGTTTATGAGCAAGCTGTAAACATCCTATTCTTCGAGCTGCATGGAGGTACATGGGATTAATTATATGTGAGTCATGAGTCCATGAAGGCCAGGTTCCCTTATTGCAGCTGTACAAGAAGCCTGGGAGAGAATAGGTTCAAAGAGCGAGGAGAGTTTATAAATGCTTTTGCTGTTATATTCATCTTGGGTTGTTTTGCAGAGATGATCTTGGTTTGACAAGTCTATTGGTGATAAGTAGGCAATCTATTTCTATCCCTCTCAATTTAAAATTGCATATATGAATTAGATGCAACCACAGGAAAAACAGCTATAGAATACAAAAAGAGGAGGCCAGAGTTAATTTGTACTAGAAAGAGAAGTGTAGGACTGCAGTTTGGCTAATAGGACATAAAAGCGCTAGCAGTGGTGGTTCATTTTCTGAATCTTTTCTCTTAGGCTTTCAGCATCATCATTGTAATTGCCAGAATACACTGAGCACTTACCATATTCCAGGTACTGTTCTAAAAAGCTTCTTTTTCTTAACCCTTCAACTACTGTATAATGGAGGTTCCAGTATAATTTCCATTTTCATTTGAGGACAAAAGCAGAGATTGAGAGCCTTAGCTGGTAAGCAGTAAGGCTGGGATTTGAACCCAGACTCCAGTGTCTGACTCTTAACCATTGTATGTCATTTTAGAAATACTCTCTAATGTTGCACATACTGATTTCTGTGATGACAGAATCGATGGTATGAATAAACATTTTAGGTGTGCTTTCTGCCTCAATAAGGTTGTTTTCCCTGCCTCTTGCATAGCAAGATGTCTAGATACTGGTTCAGTGATGCTTTCAGGGATCCAGGCTCTTTTAGTTTTCTTCCTTCCATTTCTCACATATTTGTTTTCATCCTCAGTCTTGCCTGTGGTATCCAGATGGCTTCTGTTCTTCCGACCTCATATTCTTGTTCAAGGAAGGGAGAAAGGAGAAGTAGTGGCAGCTATGTCTGCCTCTTGCATCAGGGGAGAAAAGTCTTTTCCTAAAGCTCCCACAGACACAGCCCCATCTGTTTCATTGGATGGTATTGCATCACATGGCCATCCTGGCTGCAAAGGATGCTGGAAAATTGCATAGCTCACATTTTTCAGACTCTGTAGCAGGGGTCCTCAAACTATGGCCCACGGGCCACATGCACATACAAATATTGTATTTGTTCCCGTTTTGTTTTTTTACTTCAAAATCAGATATGTGAAGTGTGCATAGGAATTTGTTCATAGTTTTTTTTAAAACTATAGTCCGGCCCTCCAGCGGTCTGAGGGACAGTGAACTCGCCCCCTGTTTAAAAAGTTTGAGGACCCCTGCTCTATAGTAATAGGTAGGCAAGGACGGAGTTGGGAATGGGTATCAAGATAGTTGAATAACAGTGTCTGCTCCAGTGGTGTGCTGGAAACTTAGATTAGAATGTATTTGGTAAGATGAACTTTCTGAGACTCACCTCGATGAGAAAGTCACATTAGTGGGAGCCAAGAAGTCCCACTTGCATCAGCTCTGCCTTTTTCACACTTGTATTGGTGTAGGCCAGTGATGGCGAACCTATGACACGCGTGTCAGAGGTGACACGCGAACTCATTTTTTTGGTTGATTTTTTTTGTTAAATGGCATTTAAATATATAAAATAAATATCAAAAATATAAGTCTTTGTTTTACTATGGTTGCAAAGATCAAAAAATTTCTATATGTGACACGGCACCAGAGTTAAGTTAGGGTTTTTCAAAATGCTGACACGCCGAGCTCAAAAGGCTCGCCATCACTGCTGTAGGCCCTGAGGCCTTCCATGTGCAGCCCCAGCCCCATTCAATCCCGCAGCCACGCCTGTTTGCACCAGCTTGGGACTGGGATCTGGAATGAATCTGAACACCAGGCTTCTGGAAGGCCTGGCTGGGAGACCCTACCTTCTACCTATTTGCCGAGTGTTCTAGTTATTTCCTAAATGCCAGAGGGTTTCTCTAGATCCTATGCTGGTGTTCAGTCTTGATTTATTGACTGTACTTCAGACCCTTCTGAGGTTGGGATACCTGAATGAGATTTATGCAGGCCTTTCCCCCGATGCTGTTTAATGAATCATGACAGCATCACTGCCACCTCCCGCGCCTATCTGGCTGTCAGGACTCCCACTTAGGTATTACATTGAGATGCCAACAGGGTGGTCTCAAGTTCAACATGATTGGGGAATAATGTGCCTTTTATTTGCCCTCTTCCCAGGCTTACTCTGTCCTGACTTTCACATCTTATTCTTCCTCCTGTCACATGCTTCACTGTCAAGGCTGCCACCGCTGTCAGTGTTTAGTACCATAGTTCTCCTGTGCCCACACCTTCCCAGGCCTGGGGCAGGGATGCCCAATCGACTGCTTGGGTCCTAGTCTCTTTCAACAGGAGCCAATTTGATCATGACCTGAGAGTGCCCTGATCACCCAAATACCTTTTTTTTTTCTTTAAGAATATATTTTTTATTGATTTCAGAGAGGAAGGGAGAGGGAGAGAGAAGTATCAATGATGAGAAAGAAGCATTGATTGGCTGTCTCCTGCATGTCCCCCACTGAGGATCAAGCCCACAACTCAGGCATGTGCCCTTGACCAGAATCGAACCTGGGACCCTTCAGTCCGCAGGCTGATGCTCTATCCACTGAGCCAAACCAGCTAGGGCCCCAAATAGCTTTTCATTCTACTTTCTGGTATCTAAAACTCTATAACCAGCAAGTTCCTCATGTTAGCCAATTTAACAAGGAGTCATTAGGTACCAACTAGGTTCCAGGCCTGGTGGTGGGAATATAATTACATAATACATTGTCTTCTTATACGTTATAGCTTAGCAGAGAAGGCCAAAATCAACAGTTATCATAAGGATGATGGTTTTATGAAAGAGGTAATATGCAGTGGGAATGCAAGGTGGTCTAGTCTTGCCCAGGGAGCTTGGACATCCTCCCTGAGGGACAGCCTGGGATCTAATGATAGGAGATAAGGGGAAGGTGGTAGGTGCAGGTGGTAGGTTTGACAGAAGGGCAAGTGTGTTATGTTCAGAGAACTGAAAGCAGGGCCAGCTTCATAGGCAAGTGACCTGGACTGTTGCACAGGGTTCTAAGCATAGAAAGGCCTCACCTTGGTTTAATATTCTGCTGTTGTGATCTTGAAATACTAAGTAATAATTTTTGAACAAGAGCCTCAAGTTTTCATTTTGCACTGGGTTTCACAAGTATAAAGTCCATTCTAATAGAGAAGAATTGGATATGCTAAGTGGCTTGATCTCAAGGAGAAGATGTACTGTAGGTCACTTGTGAAAGGAGAAGTAGCTGTGGGAAGGTGACAATAATGACCTTTATTCAATAATTTATGTTAAATTGATATTAATAGCAACTACTATAGGGAGAGGGAGAGTGCAACTTTATGAAAGCGACTACTATACATGGCAGACACCGTGCCAGGAATGGGGAAATTATAGTGAACAAAACCAACAAATCCCTGCTCTCACAAAGCCCACTTTCTAGTTGGAGGAGACACACAGAATATGCCAAGGGGTAAGTAAGGTAAGGGCTCTGAGAAATAAATGCAGGAGGGTGGGAGAGTTGACGATGGGGAAATGTTGGGTGTGTGCCATTTTACACAAGTTGGTCAGGGAAGGCGAGGCTGTGTAGGTGGATCCGGCACAGGGGTAGGAGTGAGCAGAGAGATCATGAGGCTCTTGGTAGGCCATAGTAAGGAAGGACAATGGATTTCTTTTTCTTTTTTCATTGAGTTTATTATGATGACAATAATTCACAAAACCATAAGGTTTCAAGGTGCAACTCAGCAAAACATCATCTGCCCCTCATCGTGCACCTGTTGCCCAAAACAAAGTCTCTTTCCATTCCCATTTCCCCCACTCCTTTGCCCACCTTCACCCTCCTCCCAGCCCCCTTTCACTATAGTTATCGCCACCCTGTTGTCTGTGTCTATATGTTTTACCTGTATAGGGTTTCCCCAAAAATGCATACACACTTTGAATAATTATCAAGGAGGTGTTTGCTGAAATACATTTCATTTTCAAAAATTGAGCTATCAGCTGTTAAAGTGTATGTACATTCTTTGGGACACTCTGTATATGTTTTTTGGCTTTACCTTCTTTCACCGGTTCCCCCAAAACTCTAAGATAGGAAGTCATTGAAGAGTTTCCAGCAGAAGAATGATATTTTACTGACACCTTAAAATATAATTCAGAACCTCCCAGGATTGTGTCTGGAGAGTGGCTAATATTCTGCCAGCTTCGGAGACAGCAGGGAAAGCAAGCCTGGCAGAGGTCCCCATTCCATTCCCCACTTGCTCCGTAGCTGGTAATTGGAAGACACTCTGCAACACTGTCAAGCAAATAAAAGTATAATTCTGACTATGTGTCAAGCATAGACTGATGGGAGACAAAGGTAGAAGCAGGAAGACCCACTGTGAAGCTATTTTAACTACTCAGCACAGGAGGATGGTGGCTGGTTATTAGGGTTCCAGTGGAAAAGGTGGTGAGAGGTGGGTTGGCTTCTGGATCGATACAGCATGAAGCTGATTGGGTTTGTTGGTGAGATTGGAGATAGAGTGAGAAAGAGTGAAAGTGAGGTTGATCCCATATTAACCAGTTAACTGGCACGTGTCCAAGACGGAAACCACCCCCGCATGCCAGGATATTTTGAATTTAATTAAAAAAATCAATTTGCAATGAATATTATAAAAACAAATATATTAGTCACAATTCGGGTCTTCTTGAATATTTTCAGCTGAAAAAGCTCACCAAAAATGATTTTAAAGTTGGTCAGGGCTGCCACTTATGGAAAACAATTTTTTTTTTTTTTATAGACGCTCGTGGCATGGGGGGAAAGTCTGCTGCTTGCATTTACAGATGCTTATGGTGTACAATGGGTTAATTATTTACATGTTACTGGGAATAAGCATTTCTAATTCCTTAGAGCAGATTTGCTAGAGAATTCAGGGAAATGAAATGGAAACAGAAAGGTTGAAACCATTTCAGAGAAATATTGTATGCTTACAATTTTGCCTTATTAGCCTTTATAAGAAAACTAGTGAAATTATATCTTATTCATATTATCTGCAGGACTAAAACAAAGCAGTGCTGTAAAGATTGATACAGATACGATTGAAAAGGACCCCTGGAAAGGTGTATGAAAGAATACGACACACTGGGCTTGCTGGATGGCTCATTCTTTAGACTAACTTTATCATTTATGCTAATACTTCTCAAATGTTTATCGGACAACAGCTGCTGGTCTAGTTACATTGGAATCACCATCAGAACTTGCTAAAATGAGTGATTCTTGGGGACCATTCCTCCCAAATTGTGATATGCTACTAAGTTCGTGTGGTCTCTCGTTTATAAAGCATCCTCTGTTGATTCTAATGCATAGATGTTTGAGAGACTACTGGTTTATAATATTTCTTTAAGATGGCACTTTATCAAAGTTTGACCAAGAAAATTCTGGACCTACCAAGAAAGCAGGTAGTAAATGAGTATAGAAATTATGTATTTAATGAGCAAGCCAGCTATATATAGGCTGTGGGATAAAAATCTATTAGTCTTCATACCTTTTAAAACCTGGGAAAATAAATGAGTTGTCACAAAGTCTAGAGTTTGGTTGTATTTCCTTTTGATAGTAAACAAATATATGTCCTTACAGTGTTGTCTTGGCTATTTGCTGAAGGGAAGAGAAGAAAGAACACCAGGTTTACAAGAATGGGTTCTAGGACCAGCTCTGGTGCTAACAAGCTTTGGCAGGGATGGTGGAAACTGGCTTGTACTGGGCACTTAGGAGATTTTCAGGAGTCTTGAGAGCCAGTTGTTTAACACAGTCCATATTTAAAATTAAATTATATCAATTTACAATTAAATTATATAAAGAAAAAAGGTAGTAAGTACTGAGAACTCATCATTTACTTCCTAATTTTTTCTCTCACTTTTACTATTATTATGTATGATCTAGTATCTGTACATGGAAATGCTCTATAAAAGTACTATGGATGGGATTGTGTCCTAATAAAATCCATACGTTGAAGCCCTAATCCCCAATGTGCCTGAATTTGGGGATAGATAAGAAGGTAATTGAGGATAAATGAAGTCATCAGAGTCCTGATAGAATAGGATTAGTTGTCCTTATAAGAAGAGATATTAAAGACCTGGCATGAGCTCTCTCTCACACTCCCTCCTCTCCTTCTCCCTCTCTCTAGCCCTTTCCTTGGAAGAAAGCCCTCAGCAGAAACCAAATATGCCAGCATCTTGGCTTCCATTTCTTCTTAGCTTCCAGAACTATTGTGGGAAAATAAATTTATGTTGTTTGAGCCACTTGATCCTTGGTATTTTGTCATGGCAGCCTGAGCAGACTAAGACAAATGGTGGGCTTTTGTGTGTTTCTCCACATTTAGTGACATCATGTCAGTAATTTGTAAGTGGCCACGCTGGAAGTATTGATATCACAGAAATTGGCAAATATTACAAGTCAGTGTTTTTTTGATTTATTGTTTCATTGATGAGTATTTGAAAAATTATGGTCTATGAAAGAAATCAGCCCAGGACTATTTTTTGTATATTCACAGAGTTAGGCATGCTTTTTCATATTTTTTAAAGGTTGTAACAGCAAACAAACAGCAACAACAACAAACACACAAAAAAGAATATATGGCCACGGGCATAAGTGGTCCGCAGTAAAATATTTACTGTTTTTTTTTTTTTTATTGAAAATGTTTCTTGACATCTGGCTCATTCCAAGCAGAGTGATGGAGAAAGTGTTAATAATACAGGGAAACTTAAAAGCTTTTCATGTCTTTAGTAGTTACACTGTGAATAGTACCGAAAATGGAAGAAATAGCATTTGAGGATTCAAAACCTGTTTTGCAGTTCAGCACAGAAGTCTCTCAGCACTGGCAATTGAAGGAAGTTTTGAAATATGTGTTTGTTGTTTCACTTTCATCCTGCTCATTCGTGTAAATAAAAATATCAGCCAACATTCATGTTGAAACTTCACTTACTCATCACTTGCAACCATAGATTATGGATACTGTAATTCAGCAAAAATCAACAGAAGCATTTTTTTTTTTGAGAAGCAAGTGGCTATATATAATAAAGACTATTGCATATTTTATTATTTTTAGTACTACATAGCAGTACTATATGGCAGTAGAACTATAATAAACACATGCATAGATGTGAGTGTATCAGTTAATGGAATTGCTACAGAGTTATTTGCCATAAACTTATTGGTATAAAACAGCACACATTTATTACTTCTCAGTTTCTGTGGCTTGGGAGCCCAGCACAGATTAGCTGGGCTCTTTACACAGGGTCTCCCGAGGCTCAGGCAAGGTGTTAGCTGGGCTGTGTTCTTATCTGGAGACTTAACTGGAAAGAATCTGCTTCCAAGCTCCCTCACATTGTTGGCAGAATTCATTTCCCTGCAGTGTTAAGACTGAAGACTCTGATGTCTTTCTGGATGTCACCTGCAGGCCGCCCTTAGCTCCTTCCATGTGGGCCTTATTTCCTACAGGCCAATTCGTGAGAAACAGAGTCTCTAGAGAGAGTCCACTAGCAAGGGGGACTCTTACATAATGTTAATTAATCACAGAAGTGATATCCCATCACCTGTGCAAGTCAGAGGTTGTGTGTACCCACAGTCAAGGGGGAAAGCATATGCAAAGGTATGAGCACCAGGAGATGAACACCTGAGAGCAAGCATGCCCATCTCAGTAAGCATCTATTTGCTGGTGTTGGTGAGGCGGTGGCGGAGAAATGATTGTGAAACATTTATCAGTGCACCACTGGATGTGGGTCAAACCATTGAATGTCTTTGAACCTTAGTATCCTCATTCATAACATTATAGTGTTGGATAGCATGCCTGAACCTGCTTCCAGGGAACACTTGGATATTCATGATGTACAATAGCAACTGAATTTAAAAAAAAATAAATTTAAACTTAATTAATTCAATTTTTCTCAAACTTGCCTGACCAGGGAACTTTGTGAAAATGTGAAACCACTTACCATCCTGTGGAGCTATAGCACCTTCTTAGGGAAACTCTAGCCCAGGTGATTTCTATAATCCACTAGCACGTAATCCTGACATATTTTTACTTAACTTTTATCTCCCACCTCAGGACCTCTGCACTGGCTGTTTCTTCTACCTGGAAATTCTTTCTCCAGATCTTTGCTTGGTTAGCTTTTTCTTATTAACTCAGATGTCACCTTCTAATAGAATTCTTTCTTGACCATCCTGGTTTGTTGCCCTGTTTTATTTTAGCCAATGTGTTTATCATTGTCTGAACTAAAATTTTGGAGAGACTGGGAAGAGGTAGAGCAGTGCAACTCAAAGTGTGGTATGTGGACTGATGCTGCTCCAAAATTGTTTGTTACTAGTGCATGACAAGAAAAGGAACATACTCCAGAATGTAAACCAATGAAGTCACTAAGTATGCTGCTAATTTCAGGTGGTATTTTTGTTTGTTTCTTGTATATAGTTGTTTTTTACTTTGTTTATGAAGGAAATAGCATGCTGGTTTACATTCTGGTATAAATTCCTTAACTTAGACTATAACAAACCATACTCAACATAACCATTCTGAGTAACACTGGGTTAGAGGTTGAGGAAGAATTGAAGATCAAGGAGGTCCAAGGAGTTGGAGTACGACTAGATGGGATGTAGATGGCAGGTCAGAGGTGAATGGGAGGTGCTCTGTTTGAGAGAGAGTTCCAGATGAGAGAGACCCCCAGGAGTTTTTAAAGCTCATGTTTACTGTGCCTTTAGAGAAATTTCATACAAGACCTATAAAGAAAAAGTTACCACTACTTGATGATTTTTTTTCTGGATGGGGAAAAATTCAGTAATTTGGGGAAGATCTGTTATAAAACTATCAAATATCATCGTTGCCCACTGGGTCAGTTTTCCTTGTGCAGAACAGAAAGGTGAAGTGAGATAGCAGGTTTGGCTTTATTGCATCCCCGTGCAGGGGCTAACAGAGAGGAAATCCTCCGTGCCCAGCTCAGCTCATGCTGGGCTCCACATGGAAGTTGGGTAGATGCATACCTGACGAGTCCCTGACAGTTAGCTAGGGACTGGGAATATCTTAAACATGACCCGGTTTTAGGAGCCCAGGAATGGTCCCTGTCCTTGGTCCAATCAACAGCTACTCAGACAAAGTTTCCTGTTTCCATGGGTATGGAATCAAGTGACATACACCTCTAAACATTTTATTGATTGATTCTAAGAATGTCCTTAGAATTCTTTGTAAACATTAATTTAATGGCTGAATAATGTCCTGTCATAAGGACAGAATAAACTATATAATTACTGTTTGGACATTTTAGTTACTTTGA